TTTTTTTTTTTTTTGTGATTAGTTTTGCAAATTTTTTTTCTATTTTATGGCATTAAAATGGGATTTGATTATTCTTTTGGGTGTTTAATTTTACGTACTTTTTCTCTTTTCTTTTTCTCTATTTTCTGTGCAATTGTCGTCCGTTTTTAATTGGTTAGCCCAAATCTTAACTAAAAATTTGATTAAACTTTTGTTTATTCCTTGTTGTTTATATGTTGTTTGATAGGTGTTATGTCGTTTTTTTGTTGTTGTTGCACATTTTTTTTTTTTTTTTTTTTTTTTTTTTTTTTTTCTCTTCTTCACATACATGGTAAGATGTGCTTTTATTTTTTGGGTTTGCTCAATAGACCACTTACTTTGAAATAAATTTTATATGTACATTCTTTTATCATTTTTTTTTAATTCTTTAGGCATGTGTATTTGAAGAAGAATAAGAAGAAAGGGGAAGAAGAAAGAAAAACCATGAAAGAAGAAGAAAAGGGAAAAAGAAGAAGATCGTGAAGAAGATAGAAATAGTGTAGGGAAAAGAGATTGGAGAGAGAGAAGAGAAATAGAGAGAATGAAAAAAAAAAGAGATGAGAGAGAGAAAGAAAAAAGGAAGAAAGAAAAAAAAATAGATAGGGATGTTCAAGAGAGAGAAATAAATGGATAAGGATGTTGAATAGGTAGTTTTTAAAAATAATATTGAGTCTTTATTTGATTTTTATTTATTATATTTTTGTGTCTGTCTATTTTTGTCTAATGTTTGGAGTAAATTGGGTATTGTGTGTGGCTTGAAACTGTTTTGTAAAATCAATGTTAAAAAGGAGCAGTTATAAAATTTTTCCGGTCTCATACCCCCAACGAGTTCTGCGTTTTAGCCTCATTTATTGCACCAAAAAAAAAGACGTTACTCTTACAAAATAAATCAGTTTTGAAAAGTTAGAAAATCCGAACGTTACTTTTACAAAGTATATGAATTATGGATAGTTATAAAATTTGAATCTAATGGCCATTATTTTATTTATGTATATAAATTTAGGCCAATTAGTGCTAAAAATGTTTACTTTTTTTAATTTCTTTCAAAATCTTACTATGACAAATACGAATAGGGCAATGCTATATGTACACCCCTTTTTAATAAATTACACAAAGGGCAATGCTATATGTACACCCCTTTTTTACACACAAGGGGTGTACATATAGACACCCCTATACGAATAATATATTATAGAAACTCATGATTGCATAAGCATGTATTCAGAATATAATTTTTGTTTTTTTTTTAAAATTTTTATATAAATGTTTATTTGAAAAATCTGCTCATTTTGATGGTAACACTACAATAATTAATTATGGTGAAAATGGAAAATAAAACACATGTACAACATGGACAAATACACTAACAACAATAGAAAATATTTCACCAGCTACTTCAATTGTAATTTATTTATGCAAAAATGAGAAACAAAATATTATTCTTTTTTTTTTATCTTACAAATATCATGCAAACCAAATAATTAAATATATATATATATATATATAATTGCTAGCATTTTATTTAAATTTACCTAATAAATTTACCTATATATAATACCTCATAATTGCTGGCAAATCTTTAAATAAAACTTAATAAATAAAACCTAATAAATTTTACTTATGTGGTATTTTCCCTCCAATAACCGTTACAATTCAATATTATTATTATAACATTAATCTACCATATTTCATTAGTGATAAAATATTTCCTTGCAATTTTATTTTGAGTTAATAAGACAAAAATAACTACATTTATATTAACTGAATAATAATTATATTTTTTATTATATTATATTATATAATAGCTATTATTAAAATTAGTAATTATATTGTACACTAAATGATATATGAAAGTCTCAAGTTATTTATTCTAAAATCTATATTATAATTGTTTTATCTTATTAAGAGTATGTTTTTAAATAAATTATTTTAATATCATTGTAAAATTCCATAAAATCGCATAAGCAGTTGTTACAATAAATTTAATATTTTTCAGGTAATTAATTGATCTTGATCTCTCAAAATTATAAAAATTACATTATTTATTACATATTGGTGATTCATATGCAGTCAAATCATTATGCACTATTTCTTTTAACCAATGGTCAAACTTTAAAACATAATACAATTATTTAACTTATAATTTTAATATTATATGTATAAATATAACTATAATACTTTATGTTTAATATATAATACCAGTATATAAGTTATAATTCTAATGTTATATGCTTATAAATAACTTATAATACTTTATTTTAACCTGTGCAAATGCACATGATGGAATACTAGTTATATATAATATGCCGCACTTTCTGGTTAATCAGGCCAAACTTAACCGCAATAAACATTAATTTAATTATTAAATAACGTAATTGTGATGAAAATTTTGTGAGATCGTAAATTTGAAATTATTTAGGGGATGGAATATAAAGGGGGTAAATTTATTTATATATTAAGAGAGGTAACTGCACATTTTGTATTGGGTCGGTTGCAAAATTACTAAATTAGTCCTAGTGGAAATTCAATCGTTAATGTTTTTTTTCCTTTTTTAATGTGAAAGCAGTCTTAAAGCCGTCAACCTTAACAGAGTGTCACATGCTAGTCACA